CAGGCGGCAGGCAGGCAGGCAGGCAGGCGTGGCCCCCCGGGGGAGCATCCGCGAGCCGCCCGCAGGCGGTTAGGCCGGCCCGGAGCCCCTCACACACACCCCGTTGGTGCTCTGTCCGCTGGTCGCGGGGTCGGGTGCTGGAGTTTCACGAGGCCGGGGGTCCGGAGCCCGGCGGTTGTCGCCTGGGCAGTGAAAAGGCGAAGGGGACAGCCTCGGTCCCCTGGTCCTGGCCGGGGGACGCGGCCCGGCCTCGCTCCCCGGGGAGGACGGCAGGTTTCCGTCCCTCCTGCCACGTTCCCTTGTCCCCACCCCACCTCCCACCTGGTGTCCTTTTTTTTTTTTTTTTTTTTTATCCTCCCCCTGGAAGGTGATGGAACTCCCGGCCAGAGAGCCTTCGCTTCTGGGCTCTTTGTCAAAAAAGGGAGCCAGAGCCGTTGATGTCAACAGACCCCCCTGCTTAGAGCAGCACCTGTTTCCTCCGCTCGGACGGCCCTCCTTGAATTTTTTTGTGAAAAACAAGATGCCACCTGGGACAGGGCTGCCTAGGCAGCACGGGGAGACCCATTTCCAAACGTGCTAGAATGCTCCCCTACCCCGCGTTCGAAATTCACTTTTCGAGGTTTTTTAGCCCTCACCACTACTTTTTTTTTTTTTTTCTTTAAAGGGGAGAGGCTTTAAGACATTTTGAAGAACAGCAATGAAGTGAAAGTTGATTTTAACGTTTTAGTTTGTTTTTTTTTTTCTCTGCAAGATTTTCTCAAAAGACAAATCCCTGTTATGAAAAGGATGGGTGTGGGCGGTATTTAAGGAGTTGTGGCAACCTGGCGAAGTCACAGAAGAATGGATATAAACAAAAGTACCACACTGCAGAAAGAGTGAGATGCATGCTGTAGACCCCAAGCTGGTAAGCCTAGTGATGTTGCCTAGCTAAGTCCTAAGCTGAAGTCTTGCCGGGTGAAAGCAGTTTTCAGTCACTTAAATATTCAACAAGTATTTGTTGATGTTCATTACGTGTACCAGGAACTGGAAAGGAGCTAGGGACTCAAACGTGAACAAGATGCAGTCATAACTGAATTCAGATGGCTTGTTCATCCTCCGGCTAATGAGGCGAAGGATACAGGCAGGTGTAAATTAGAGTCTCTAACGCTAACCCTACCGAATCAGCTGTTGGGACTTACAGACGTTGGAATACCTAGACCTGATAGAACAGCAGGCGTTGAAAGCATCCTTGAATTCCGATCTGCGTTCGAAATCAGGTCGCCTCACTGTGCCTCGTTTGTACTGATGCATATAAATGTCCGTTGTTTGGGACGAAATCAATAGAGTTCGGCAATTCCCTTTTATTGCTACTGGGTGTGTAGAGAAAGACCATTCCAGACAAATCAAACAGCTTGTGAAAGAGGCCTTGGGGTGAAACAGGTTAGCTTGTTGGGAGATTAGTGATAGCAGACAGCTGAGCAGAGGCCACAGCAGTCCTTTTCAGGCCACGTTAAGGGATTGGACTTTTTCTTGAGAGCAATTAGAAATTATCACAGAATACTAAGTAGCAACATTAAACATTTCCTTTTAGAAGAAGAAAAGATCCCCATAAGAACCCTGAAAAGCAAGAAAAGAAAGGCAGGTTGTCCCTGAGCAGAGTGAGGCCTAAAATTGTCCAAGGTTCAATAATCCCAAGCCTTACCTAGAGACAAACCTTGTGCTGTTTGTGTTGTCTGTATTACTGTTGCTGAACGAACTTGTATGTCTCAATGAATTGACAAGGAAGGTGGTGTTTATAGTGAGACAACAGGGGTTGGATGAGTTCATGCCACACTCAACATACTGTTGTTCAAACTAACCTTAATGAGGATCTGCCGTGTGTTATATACCAAGCAAGACCTGTGCTAGACTCTGACATACAACATATGTAAGACTTGGCCTCAGGATGGTTGAGTCAGGAAAACTCTTGCCTTGCAAGTTTGAGGAACTGAGTTCAGTTCCCTAGAATCCAGTAAAAATGCTGGGCGTGGTATGTGTGCTTTTAATACCAATGCTGGGAAGGCAGAGAGACAACCCCTCATGCTAGCTGGCCAGCCAGTCCAGCTTAATTAGAGCTCCAGTCTAGTGAGGAAGAGCCCGTCTGAAAGGAGGTGACAGCCTTTCCGAGGATGGCACCTGAGTTCGTCCTCTGACCTCCATATGTACCCTGTATGCACATGCACATACATAGATGTACACATATATTCATAAAGAAGCATATAGATACAAAAAATTAAATGTATGACATTGAGCCTCAAGGCCTGGAGCAGTTAAGAGCAGTTAAGAGCTCAGCGGTTAAGAGCAGAGGACCCAGGTTCAATTCCTAGCACCCACATGGCAGCTCACCACTTTAACTCCAGTTTCAGGGGATCTGACACTTTAGCATAGACACACATGTAGGCAAAACATGAATGCACATGAAAAATAAAAATAATTGTTAAAAAGGTTGAGCCTCAGAAGTTAGCATGGAGTCATCAGAGAATGCCAATGATAAATTCAAACATCCCTCAGTACCACATTTGAAAAATTACACTAAATCCTTGAGAACAGATTAGAGAAAAGTGGACTGAGATACTCACTCAGGCAGCCTCAGCCGTCTCACATTAGTCACAATCAAATGTTGACAAAATGAGCCCTGGAGGTGCTTTCATGCAAAGGGTGTCAATGGATTGATGCATGTCCAAATATAGCTCTCTCCTTTGGACTCTAGCTGTTCTTTAAAAACTTGACTGACACCCTAAGAAATACCTAAATGACCAGTATTCCCCAAAAACGAGTGGGAAGAGGTAACATAGTAAGTAAGGACAGATTAGGATTGGTAAAGGTGCACTAATTGAAAGTCTGTATGGTATCATCAAAACAGATATTTGGCTTTGAATCTGAATTAAGTTGGAGCAATGGGGTATTCCTGACATAGCACTCATGACATACTCTCCCACTCCCCAAAAGTAAATTGACTGATTTCCTTAGCTTGTAAAATGAGCAGTTTGAAATAATTACTGTTTTGGGGGATGGAGAGATGGCTCAGTGGTTAAGAGCACTGACTGTTCTTCCAGAGGTCCTGAGTTCAATTCCCAGCAACCACATGGTGGCTCACAACCATCTAATGTCCTCTTCTGACCTGCAAGCATATATGTAGGCAGAACACTGTACATATAATAAATAAATCTTTAAAAAAAATATATTATTATTCTTGACAGATAAACCCCAAGAAGGTACCTCTCCTCGGTTTTACATTCTAGTGTACTCAGTGCAGTATTACTCAAGAAAGCCAACAAAGAAAGTTAAAAGTGACCTAAACTGTAAACAAGGAATAGCCAAATCACTAGTGGAGTGCACACTTAGACTATTAAGCAGCTATAAAAATCATAGCCAGAGCTGGGCGGTGGTGGCACACGCCTTTAATCCCAGCACTCGGGAGGCAGAGCCGGGCGGATCTTTGTGAGTTCGAGGCCAGCCTGGTCTACAGAGCAAGATCCAGCAAAGGCGCAAAGCTACACAGAGAAACCCTGTCTGGAAAAAAAGATCATAGCCAGGAAAACTTACATTTATGATATTCTGTGGATATGAAACATGATGCAAACTGTATATGCTTTATAAGTAATGTTTTTAAAAGTAATAAGATGAGGATTAGAGTAATTGTCTCCAACATTAGCTATAGTTTTAGGAAGGAGAAAACCAAGTATATAGAGTTGGCCTAGTTTTCCTTTGTTTTCCTTTGTGTGGTAAGCATATATCCTGTAATTGAAAAATAAGCATTAATTTGTTGTAATTTTTTTTTGAGGGTCTTGCTTTGAAGCTCTGGCCTGGAACTCACCTTGTAAACCAGGCTGGCCTCAACTCTCAGAGACCCATCTGCCTCTGCTTCTGGGGTGCTAGGACTGAAGGTGTACCCCACCACTTCCCATCAAGTTTGTTCAGTTGAATTAGCCTTTTAATTCTGAGAAGTAGGTATGTGGTATTCATTTAACCGTTCTCTATTCTAGGTTTCAAATAAATTATTAAAAGCAATCAGACACTTGTTGGCCATTTCTTTTCTTCACATTTTCACGATACTATATCTCAAAGTATATTTCTTCGAAGACTGGTTCGACAGTATTAATTTGTACAAAAAAAAAAAAAAAACTGCTAAGGTTGGAAAGTTTTGAGAAATGGAGTCTTTTTCAGAACCCTGACTGTTGACATTACTATCACCACTAAAGTAGGATGATTCCCAAATTTGCCAGTTTTCAACAGCACACTTGCTGTCAGTGCTTCCAGAAACACTGTCCTCCTCCCCAGCCCCTGGTGGCCACAGTGGGGTGGATTTAAACATCCCCCTCTGCAGTGCCCTTCAGCTTCTGCAGATCCAGAGCTTCCCCATAACATTTCCTCAGGAACCTGGTTACTCCTCTGCCCTCGATCCATCCCTTCCTGGGAACTTTCTGTGACCAGAACAGTTCAGAAAACTGGAGTATTGGTGGGAAGGGGGGAAGACGGACCTGGTTTGGAGGACAGCTGGGACCCTACACAAAATGGGATCTGTAGAACACCGGTCCCCCTGTACCGCTTGGGGTGCCTGCCCCACAAAGCACTTGGGGAAGAGTTGATAATCATGTCACGTTTGCTTTCTCATGCAGCAGCTCCGCTGTGAGCAGCGCAGAGCAGGAAGTGATTTCAGAGTTACAGTCCCTGTGAGGGAGGTCAGGGCAGGAACTGAAGCCGACGCCTCCGAGGGACACTGCTCACTCACTTCCCTCACTGCCGCAGCCTGCTTAGCCACCCAAGACCACCTGCCCAGGAGCGGCACTCACATCAGTCACTACTACTGAACACCCCACAGGACAACCTGATGATGCATTAGGCCTGCCTGGCTTTTGGAGTACTGAGAAACAAGAACCTCTGGGAGGAAGTAGCAGAAAGGAAGCTTCCTTTACAGAATTACTCCTACCACCTGGTTGAGATCTTTCTTTTGACAACTTTGTATTTTCTTTATTGCCTTTAGCTCTGTTTCTCTGATGATGACTTGGACAGTTACTGTGACAGTGCCTCGTGTTTCATCGGCTCCTCCCAGTAGTCCTGTGAAACAGTTTAATGAAGATGTTTTGTATGTAACCTTGGGCATCTCTGAGTCTGAAGGATCTGTGGGCTTCTATTACTCGGTACAAAGTAACTGTCATAGTTAGGGTTTCTATTGCCATGAAGAGACACCAAGGCCACAGTAACTCTTAGCA